GCTTAGTTACTGAGTCCTGATAGCCACTAGCTTGTGCAATGAGATGAAGTTTGAATTCACTTGGTATTGTTTACTTGAATCTACCGATTGGTGTTTAGGACTTCAGTTGATCAGTCTTCATAAAATATGTCTAAAACTTCTTATCAACTGTATTTTCATAATTAAGCATGTATGATGTTAATAATGATAAATGTATAAGATCTTTTAATGCAAAATAATATAAGAAATTAATAGTAATTCATTTATCAAGAAGATTAAAAGGATAAATATACCTTTGTTAGTTATGATCGATTTTAATGAGATCCGATCACGTATTCTACAAAACAAAAAAGAGAAAAGAAAATCAACGTCTTTATTCCATTCTCAACTCTAGGCAAACATGATTGTTAAAATGAATTATTTGTATTAGGAAAACCCCTACGTTCATTAAGTAAATATGACTTTTTATAACGAGCATTCTATTCACTCCAGAGGTGCTTCTGTTACACAATCATTGATGAAAACGGTGGATCTGATGAAGATGTGAAGGCGTGGATCGGCAAAGCAAGAACAGAATATCTACAACCGAAGAACATCTCGAACTCAAAATAACTGTCAACCAACGCCAAGGTCAAGATTTTCAATACAAATGTCAAGACAGTTCTACTGTATGGGGTGGAAACCTGGAGAACTACGAAAACCATCATCCAGAAGATACAAGTGTTTATTAACAGTTGTCTACACAAAATACTTCGGATCTGTTGACGAGATACTATCAGCAACAACAAACTGTGGGAAAGAATAAACCAGATTCCAGTGGAGGACGAAATCAGGAAGAAATGCTGGAAGTGGATAGGAAACACATTGAGAAAAGCACTCAACTGTGTCACAGGGTAAGCCCTCAATCCAAATCCTCAAGGTCAAAAGAGAAGAGGAAGATCAAAGAACACATTACACTGAGAAATGGAGACATACATGAGAAGAATGAACAAGAATTGGAAAGGAGGGCCCATGGCAGAGTGGTTTAAAGAATGCTAGTCGGCAGCCTATGCTTCATTGGGGGTAACAGGCGTAAGTAAGCTAGTAAGACTTTTCATGACAGATAAATATAAGACTAAGAAGGTAACTTTTATTAAAATCTACATAGATATTAAACTTATTCTTGTATATGATATAAATCTACATAACTTACGAATAAATTGTATCAATGGAAAAACTTATAAGAATCCATACTTATTCTCTTCGCTGATTATGTTCCAATATTATTATAACGTTAAAGAGATCTCGGTGTATTTTGATGATTATACAAGATATAATCGAATTGTCATCATTAGTAAAGATATTTAGGACTGAATTCTGATTAGTCTTTGTTGACATATATAAGTTCTACGCAGATTGACTCGTTTTAATAGTTATAGATAAACTGTGAATGGCAGTGGAATCTAAGATGTATGTTTCGTCCTATTTCGGATTCATCAATAGAATGAATTTGTAATACAGTTTTGATGATCATACTAGATTTCACATCCCATATCAAATGGTAACGCGTTGTCTATTAAGTCTAGTTAATTCTAACTCATACTAACCACAAGGTAAACTTTTTGTCTGGCGAATAAGTTATTAATTATCTAGACTTAGTAGTTCAATATTAACTTCCAGTGTACATCCAGCTGATACGTTTGGAATTGGACAACTAAACAATGTAATTATCTTTAATCTTTATTATATTCAATAACATATAACAATTGAAATCTATTTGTATCGGAAAGGGTTTTTGTGGATATTATGGTCATTTCAATAGTCGAGATCATGAGGAGTCCCACAATAGGACGAGACGGTCGTCGAATGCGTCCAAGTTTTCCATACTGATCTAACTTTAATTAGCTCATGATCTCAACTATTGAAATCTATTTATTCAATTTCATCAAATGATCACATGTGATCATGGCGAGACTATAATTTATGAACGAACCAACCAGGTATAAGATAACAGATCATGAATTTTGATGCGAAATTCATTCATCCATTTGGTTAAATAGCGTTTTGGCACTTCAACTGATGTCAGTTCGTGATGAAAACTTCAAATCTAATTCCTAACCTTAACCATCAATTGTAAATCATAATTCTAATTCTTCATGATGGTTTATAACCCTCATTTGGTCCTGGTTATTAGGTGAACACTCTCAAGGTCACTTTAGCATCACTCAAGAGTCGTCCATAGATTCTTATTTGTGAATCCATTACGTGTATGAGTATACCTGCAAATTGATGAGTTATAATTAAACATTTACATAAATAGATAATAGTTTTATTATTATAAATCAGACGAAATATTAGTGTTTTATAACGATTTAAAACTTAACTCTGCCAACTACAATATGGTCGTTCAGGTTATATACACAGACTCGAGTTAGAAATAACTATGGATACTCTTCTATGATAGATGGTTAAGGGTGGTCGATAGGAAGCCGTGAAGCTAGCTTTCGCCCTGTTTGGTACTCATCAGTAAGGGAGATGATGCTCTCTAGTGGATTCGAATCCGCAATATAGACTGTGAAGCTAATGACAAGTGCCAAATAGCATGGAACCTAAGTTTACGATATTCTGTCAACCATATCTAACCACCCAATATGTCAATATGGCGCACACGATGTCAAGTCACTGAGACTAGTGGCTACGTTGAAACTCGGTCAATAAAATTCGAAAACTAAAGGATCATACGGAAATGAAATTGGTTTCCACTCAGTAATCAATTGATTGTCTAGTCAACAAAATGCACTTTCCCTAGTCCTTGCGTAACAATGTAAGAATTGCTTATCTAGTCTGGAAAAGAAATACTAGAGGTTTGATTATAAACAAAAATATGTTGAGTATCGTGAGAGGCACGCAGTTGACACCGACATGTTACCACTTCTTTATTGTCTTCAGAGACTGTTGGGATGAGTTTCAAAGCAGTTATCAATTCAGCAGAAGTTCATTGATCTTTCCAAACGTTTTGAATTAAACCGAAGAAAATGCTTTTTCTTGGCGGATATGAATAAAAAACAGTATTAGTATTGCTAGTCTCATCAATAGTATAACATGACCACAGAGCCCAAGAGACAATTGTCTAAGGCCAGTATCACACAACTTTTTGTCATCAGACCAAGGAACGATAGAGTGTGCCACTCTTTAATCAGTTTTTTTTCTAACCAAGTAGATTATTTGTTACCCCCTAAACATTGTATATAATGTTTCACAAGCTAGTGGCTATTTGAACTCGAAGACTAAGTAGACAGTGTGCTAGACGTTTAAAGTAGAACACACTAGGTTTGAGTCCCAAAGTGAACATGGACACGAGCGGATAAACATCCGGCTAACGAGCCTCAAATAGGAAGAATTGCACGTACCAGACTCAACTGCCAACCATTATCCAACTCTGCTTAAAAGTGGTTGTATCCAGTACTTTTAAAACCCTAAATAAGGATCTTATTTATAACTTTGACAGTACAGTTTCCGTTTGGTAAAATGAAATTATGTAATATAAAGCCTGGGAAAAGATACAGTTATGAATACTCATTTTATACCACTAATGAACCTTGAACAATGTATGTAACTTTTGTTAGATAAAACTAATTCTTTCCGAAAGTAATTCTGAAGATTATCTACAAATCGATTATTCTAAAACACTCCATTAATCCTATTATGGTTCATACATGATTATTATTCTTGTTTGACATAAGATAAGCTGAAGATAATTCTCTTATCACAATAAATCATTATATTTAGATAAAGTAACTAATATGATTGAATTTAATGAGTCTGATTGTGATCTAAACAAAGAATCTGAATAAAAGAGCTAGTTTATTAGGTTTTGTAAAGATTGAATTCATAGGTTGTTTTCGGAACAGATTGCTCTTAATTGAGATACCATTGCAAAACAGGAAGCTTTATATAGCTGTTTCGTCTTAAAATGATGGCCCACAGAGTTGTACAACTATGATCCCATCAGGAATCCAACTGAGGACCTTTAGATCTTAAAGTGAATGTTTAATCACAATAAACATTGAACCAGCATCTAATGGTATGATTTTGACTTTCCTCAGTGTGAGATATAGTGCAACGACTATCTAGTGCCAATAGTGACCACTGTTTCACTCCCGAAATGTTTGAACACTACGAATCACATCTCATTTCCTGTGGGTGACCTAACTAAAATCAGTCTGTGACGAACAAAACCTACGAACTGGTCATTTATTTATCAACTCATTGTTTGATCATTGTCATATTCAGCTGAGACAAGATCAAGAGACAAAACTCTTCTGTTAAGTGATAAAAAATCACTTCATGAAGTAAGACACAAATGATATTCACCGAAACAACGAAGGCTGAGCAATTAGAACATCTAGCTTAAACAAGGGTAGCAAAATTTTTGATGACCATTTACAAAAAAATGAATTGCCAACTAAAAGCTATTTAATTCTCCAAGTGAATCAGAACACAAAAGATCAACATGAGCTCCATTTAAGCAATTGTGTACAATGCTAGTGCACTAGATAGTTAGCCACAAAGCTCTAACTTATGTGAAGGCTAGACAAAAAGAGTAATCCTGATAGTACGTTTCATAGTTGATTGATTTTATTCGCATGAAGAGATTGTTTTTTTTGGTTTATATCACAAAGCAACCATAGTAAAACAACGATTGAAAACCAGCAAGCACTGGACAGTTATTTCGTCCCAGTTTGGAACTCCTTAGTGGTGCTCAAACACAAACAGACCAGGGTTCGGAGACGGGACTCATGGGTTTGTCGATGGACACTTAATCTTTAAACCAGTGAATCAGCATATATTAGTTTACATTTGCAACCACAACAGATCCAACAATTTTCCAATATCATTGGTGGTTCACTGCCTCACACCAGGCATAGTTGAACTCCACTGGTTACAGTTTCTTATCAGAACTCTGGAATTTACATTTCGAAACTAGTCAGTAGTTGAATAGTCTCTATTCTAGGATGGAAAATCTATCCAATATTTCCTGATTTTCAATGAAGATCTCTCTGTAATTTACACCATAAAACTAAAGACTCAAACAACATTCCATGCATACTCATCATTCAAGTATGTGAAACAACTTGGGAATGATGTGTGAGGCGAAGGAACAGAATAGAACACAAGTGTAAATTCTTCCAATTTTCCTTCACATCCTAACCCACACTTCATCTCCCCACACAAGAAAAAAAAGAAAACTAAATGCAATAACAAAACTAAACTAAGCTGGCAATTTTTGTCAAAAAAACTAATTTAAAAGCCAAAACGAAAAACAAAAGACATAAAAAACAAGAAAGAAAATATTATTATTATTATTTCTTATGAATCGTCGTGGTCTTCTGGATACTGATCCTCATGAACACAACACTGGTAGTCGTTTGTGCCGTTTTCTCAATGAATATTACATGAAACAATACATATTACGTAACAAAATAATGATAGCAATAAGAAGTGTAAAACAAGATGTCTTTTATAAAAAATGAAAACAAGTCAACAACAATTGAAACACAGATTATATGACAAGTTTCTGATGGGATAGAATGGAAGACGTTTCCGTGATATCAATCATTACATACATCTATCTATTTATATATGGCGTATATATGTGTATATATGAGAATATACTTGAATAAGTGAAGAATTACTCTTCTAGATCACAGACTATTCTGTTTATAGCTTGTTTTTTCTCAGACAGATACAACTTGAACTAAATGATGAAGATATAGGATTAGTAAATAAATGGAAAGGGGATACTATTGAAACTGCCAATACTATTATTATTATTATTATTATTACTGGTACTAAAAGTACACAAGATGTACCGCACATATACATATATGTACGGACGCCAGTAGTACTTGTGTACAATACGCTGTTTTGAAGCATGGAAAGTGTAGTATTGTAAAAGAAAAAGCAGAAGGGTAGAAACAATTTGTCTCTCTACCCCCCTCTCTCTCTCTCAAAAAAGCAACCTCAATTAAGAAAATAAAATGAACAGTACAGAAAAAGAGAAGTTAGTCAAGGGAAATTAGAATATAATCACAATTTCTAATGTGTATGAATAGTTTTCTTTTATGAATCAATATATATATAGATAGATACTACTATTCTTAGTAGTATTGAAATCGGCAAGGGAACACACCAAATACAGGTAAACATTTTTGCCATTTATTTGTTGTCAATCGGATTTGAAAGATTTTAAAAAAACCACATAAAAATTGATTCAAGTCAAAGAAGAGTTTTTAGTAATTTCTTGGTGCTGCAGGAGCCACTCGATAAGGCACTATAATTGAAGAGAGACAGAGAGAGAAATATATAAAAATCAACATAGGGAATTAATTATACATTGAAAATTATATGAAAACAGTCCAACCGAAGTAGATGGTTTTCTTAGGGGGCCACACTCAGAGCCTTCGACCTGAAGGTCTGATCCACAAGACAGTGGAGCAACGTAAGGAGATGCAGTCCCATGGTGGTCGGTGACCAACAATTGGTTCATACGCCATTTGTTCCTTCAGGATACTGGAGCCCATGTGCATCATTAGTTTGGAATCACGGTTTTCCAACTCCCCTAGGTGAACTCTCCATGTTCACCAACCCGGTTAAAGCGCCAGACATTCGCTTTTCGTCCTCTCAATTTCGTAAACAACACCCCCGCCACAAGAAGGCAATGAGTAAGACTTCCCTGGCAGTGGTTGTATGCACGTGGCCATGTGAGAGCATTTCGAGAGGGAGAGCTGACTTTCCCCACCCTCAGTCATACCAGGGCATTTAGGAACCAGGTGATCAGTTGATAGCTTGAAACTGTTATGAAGGATAGATATATAGGACTGATATCTGTTGATCTACTACAACTCCTAAGATTGGGTTCTAAAGATAGTATAACTTAGTGACTTCAAACGTTAATATACATGACTCAAAATAGAATCATTTGATGAGTTCTGATAAAATTCTTTTTTTACACTCTTTGTAAAAGGCAGAGTAACTCAATTAAGTTGACTGTATCGTTAACTGAACTGTGTCATCTAATACACACTATTGTTGTTCCATCACTCTTTTCTTCATTGTATTCCCCCACCCTCATTTTTTTCCTTCACATTATTTTGTGTGCCTCATTTTATTGCTGAATTTTAGGTTTATTAAACAAGTTACTTATTTACAACCTGAGACAAACAACTTGAACATCCATTTTTATTGTGACATTTAATGTTGTGAGTTTGAATTCTACAATGTGGAGTATCGGTTTCTTTACTGTTACTAAGCACACAAACTTGTTGACGATTGCCGCCTACCATGAAACATAAATCGAGTCAGGTTTCCTATTGATCAAGAAGTCTAGCCTCTCCGAGTCGACGATTCAGACAACTCTTTGTATTGGATCATCGTCGTCTCTGAAGGATTGCTGACATTCAGTAACAACACCATTTTAGTGATGCAGAATTTCGTTAATGTGTGCTGGGGTACAGTGACGACAATTTAATTAGTGTCAATATCCTGAAAAACCAGTTTCTGTTATTTGAACGTGTGCTTAAAATGTCGTCCCAGTGAATTCCATATCGTGTATTAGCCGCCAACGCTGGGACTGGTTGGAAAAAGCAGTGAGATGGTCAGTTTATGACATGGTACCATAATATGAAAGAAAACTGTACAGAACTGTCATCTATCGGCCCTTCACGATACCTTAGTTGGGGTTTTAGACATAGTGTTACACGGTGATTTGAGACGTTATCAAGCTTAGAATAGAAGTTAGTCGTGATCGTACAGTAATTTTACCTTACGTTTTTTCATAAAAGTAGGAGGGACTTCTTTAACTGAAAGAATTCCTTTTTGATTGAGATCATGAATCAATTGATGTCAGACCACGATGGAAAATCTGGAAGCACTGGACGGACGTTCCGTCCTAGTACGAGACTCCTCAGCAGTGCGCATCCACGATCCTGATGGCGGGACTCGAACCCAAGGCCTTCGGTCTTGCGCGCGAACGCTTAACCATTAGACCACTAAGCCGGCATCCAACGGTGTTAATGTCTAGCCTCAACTAATCCACGAAATTGAGAAACACATCCACCATTGTTTTTACTGAGTTACTATCTCACAACTGACTCGGTTGAACCCCACTGGTCACGGCTTCTCAATAGAACTCCACGAAATACCTCTTGAAGCCAGTCACTAGTGAGCATATGTTGATTAATATCAGGAGGGTTTTGTGGATATTATAGTAATGTTAACAGTTGAGATCATGAGTCAATTGAATATAGTTAAGTTAACCCACTAAGGGAAATCTAATCACATAAATAAGCTTACCTTGATTACGGTAATTGTCGTTGATGTTATTACTGTTATTCACACTACTATTAATACTACCAACACGATAAGTTTTAGGACCACGATATGATTTTGGAACAGGAACACTTCCAATATCAGGAAAAGTAAAACGACTTTCAAAATGACGAACAAGACTAGTGATATTATTATCATAATTGTAATTGTCCATTGAAGATAATGATGGTTGTTGAAGTGGTGGTGGTGGAGGCGGTGGTGTTGGATGTGCACGTGAATTCATTGTATAATTGTTCATATCATACACAGATGAAGGTAAATATGGATTTACATTAGAAGATGGTGCACATGGCAAATCAGTTAAGCTTCCATTAATATTTGATGAAATACGTATCACTTTAGTTGATTGACCAACAGGTATACCATTTACATCTGAGTTTGTTGAACCAGCGCGCTTTATGTCGAAATAAAACAAAACAGAAACATCAGATGAACGTTTACAAATGTCAACTTATCAATTGAAATATCAGCCAAAAATTTAATATTATTCGTTATCGGTTAATGAACTGCATTAAATGCACACTGCAAAAGGAAAGAAATCACACAAATCAAAACTGTACTGTTGTTTGTAAGTAAAGCCGTAATATTTAACAACAACAACAAAAATGTGTAAATCGTGCACACCAATAAAATGGAATGTTGTTTTTTCAACAAACAATCAAGTATACAATACAATAAGTGAAGAAAGAAGCGGAATCCACAACGACGAAATGAAACATATATATATATATATATATATATATATATATATCGACATAAGTTATGAAATTTTATCCTGTTAAAAACGATTTTTTTTAAAAGATTTGTAACTAAAAGGAAAAAACCGTATAGACAGATAGATTTATGCACACAACTACCTACCTGATATCGATTTGAACTACTTTGTTTCCGTCGTGGAGAACGTCCAGATGGAGGTGGAGGTATAGTAGTAGTAGTAGTAGTACCATTCAGATTATTAACAGTATTATTACTATTACTAACATTAATGTTATTTTCATGTACATTAGCTGCACTTCCTAACTGAAGAGGAGTTACTCGTGTTGGTTGTGATGAGGGTGATGCTGACGATGTTGATGATGCTGGTATTGAAGAAAGCATTATAACTTGTACAGGTGAACTTGGAACAACGGGTGGTGTTGGTTGATTATCTTCAGATGGTTTTTTATAAAAACTGTACCTAGGATAACTATTATTATTATTATTGTGAGACGAAGAATTAGAATTGCTCTTTGAAATCGACGGTCTGGCAGGAGTTGGGGGCGGAGGAGCCGCTGCCGGTGCTGGTACTGATGATCCATTACGAACGGCCTTCACACACAAATGTAGACAGATAAATTGGCTGAATAAGTATACACATACACACACACTAAGCGCAAGTGAATTTAGATGTATCCAAAAAAACAACTGTGCATAGTTATTAGGGAGAGCGAAAAGATGTAAACATATATCTTGTGCAATCAAACTAAGTTACTTAGGTAATAAAGCGTACTGCATTTTAATACAAACTATCATTAGTTAGACAGTGAGGAATAAAAACCACACGAGTATATATTCCTTAAACTATATATATATGGCTATTGTTATGATAATTATTAATGAAATTGTTAGTTAGTTTGACAGGAGTAGATTAAGAAAAGTGAATATATGTATTCTGCCTAGAAATGATGATAATAAACATTTTGAAAGGTGAAGCAAACTGTTCACACACATCCCATAGAAAAAACAGGGTGTTCGAGCACCAAGACGTTGAATCCAGCAACCATGTAAATATTTGGAAACCGAATGGGGGGAGGTAATTAGATAGGTTTATTGAGTAAAATATTATCCACATCAGAAATCGAATATACAAAACACTAAACTACAATTGCAAAAGTAGGATAATAAATAATAATTACTTCTTAAAATAACCAAAAAGACACCTTCCATTGACTAGCAAGAACTACTATTACAATCAGAAATTCAAATGAACTGATTATCTGGAGAAGTATGACAAAAGCCTTGTAATGATACCCTGATACAAAAAAAAACATATCAATTTTGGTTGAAAGGTCTCGTGAAGATGAATTTTAATTTGTACGTTGTATCTGTTACAGATTGATTTCAGATGAAGAGTGTCACCGAAAGTTATTGAGTATTAAACAGCTGCCTAGTTCTATTATGGGACTATTAATGAGTAGTGTGAACCTGAAACCATATCAGGGGTCGAACGTAAGTCTTGTAGGCTTTATAGTGAGCGTGTCACCATCTAGACAGTTGAATTGATATAGAATGATTTACATATCTAGCTTTAATTAGTTCAAGAGGTAATGAGACGATCGATCACTATTCAGTGATAAGTCATGATATAATATTAATTAAAAGTAAATATTATCTGAATAACATGTAGGAATTCATGTTCATACATACAGTTATACAGACGAAGACTCATTTTAAAGTACAATAGATTTACATAAATGTCATCTGTGTCTAAGTCTAGTTGTATTTACATTTAAATGACCTAATTAATCTACTGAATTTTGTTATCGTTCAATGTGACGCAGCAGTCAAAGACTGTAAACTCTAGCACAGTTTGACATTTGCTTTTAGGTTTACTGTTTTTGTTTTCTTCTCTCGTGTATTTTTTTATTGCATAGTTTTATTGTAAGAAATTAGTTCACTTCATTTTTGAATGAAAAGTTTGTTTTAAAAATATAACCATAACTTGGAAAAGCACCAATAATTGAAGTGATAAAAATATTCTAGCGAATAATTAAATGAAGTAGCAAGCAATGTCTGATATGCAACATTAGATGGTATATTATGGTATGCAACGAAATATCTACAGACATACAAGTCAAGACAACAAATCAGTTTACTTTTTGATGGAGTTTTGTTCTCTGAGCTGGATGGTTTAGTTGCGGAGCTTTCATCGTTCTTCTGAACGAGATTATCAGCACAAACTTCAGTAAGAACCAATCAACGTCGAGGTGTACAGAACAAGCTGTGAAACACATATGGAGAAATTCGAACACTTCACTTCTATCTGAAGTTTGTGCTGATGATGTCGTTCAGAAGAACGATGAAAGCTCCGCGACCAAACCATCCAGCTCAGAGAACAAAACTCGACCAAAATCATCCACCTGAGCTACAAATCTCCTCCATCATCTCAAAATCAGTTTACGGAATTCATTGGCTGATGGGACAAAACATATCAAAAAGTATGCAATTTAAGTTAAATGGGGAAACCTCGGTTGCACGGTGGAATAATTACATTTCATTTTCTGTATCTTTCTACAAATATTGGGGTTAAGTATCATTTCTAACTTTCCATTTATCAACCTTATTTATTCGTTCTTTAACTGTATTCATCACGATGAGCCTACCATAGCAATTACAATTATTTCGTCTCTTTTTCTTAATTTGTTAATTCCCTTTTTCGTTATGATGATGCGGGATATAGGTGACAAGGGGATAGGGTTTGATTATGAACAAGGTGATCGTATTTGCTGTTGGAGGTATGAGGGCGATTATTACTTCCCCGGTGCCCATACTGAATGAATATCTCTTATAAATGAACCTAGAAAGTAAACCGGGTTAATATCGGTGTTAGCGACTTAGGAGCATTACTCCAGAGCCAAAAGGATTACTGTTTAAGGGCGGTCACACACTGTCTTCTTTTGGTAGTTCTGGATGAGTCAGCTCCATTGGTTTAGGCCCTCACTATCGGAGAAATAAATCTGTGAGTCAAGGCAAAGTGCAACATTTTTATGACCAACATTTCCTAACCCCTTCTTTCTATTGTGAGAAGGCTATATAGTAGATGTTGGTTGTTTGGCCGTTACACTGCTATACAGCCAGTAACAAAACTTCGCTCTCGGGGCATGAGTTTGCTGCTTTTAGTCTAACCACTATCCAACCAACCTGCATGGCATGGTAGGACCTAAAGGAACGAATGTTTCAGCCAATCTAAATAGATTAGCTCACTATGATATGCATCCTCGACCACCACATCAAGGTAGCAGCTGCGAAAGACAAACGGAAAATGACAATCGATCTAATTGGTTTATGATGTGTACACTACATAAACCATTCAATTTGCTTGGCTCATGTTCACATTTCAGTTTATTCGGTTTACCCCACACCATTCAAAAAAGACCCTTGAGAATGATCTCCACGTACATGCTAAAGTGAACCGGCCAGCACAAATAGCATCTAAACTATTTTACATGACCGTTACAACTATCAAACTACTCTACTGATTTCCTACTGTCAATCATCACTAATGTGGGACCTAGCACAAATGTTTGTATCAGTTATTTGTGTCATACCTCACAAGTCAGTGTGCAGTGAAACAGAAAATTAACAGAATGAAAAACATAGATGATGGAAAATAGTGTCAGAAACATTTTAAAGTATGAAATGATGCTAAGCTCGGAATTTCGAAGAAGAAAGTCAAGAACGTAAACATTTACCACATTGTGATCCGTAACGTTTCACGGTTGTCTAATTTGGGTAAATATACACGCACCTCTTATACGATTTATCAAATCTGCCACGTAAGGGAACTAGAAATAACTAAGGGGCAGTGGTTGGCAACCTGAATAAGATGTACATGAATTATGAGTAAATATACATATTTTCCTTCAACCCTGACGAGAACATATAGGTTGAGGACTTTACTAGAGGAGTAATCAACACATCCTACAACAGTGTATCCTGCCTACGATTTCCAACCTACCATTTGACCCTGATATGACATGTGATATATTTAAATAAACTCAACTCATCGAGACCATTTTGAATCGTCACTTAACCTTACTAACCACTTATTAGGACTGTCCTGTGGATCTCAAGTAGACTTGAAATTATAAATGTGGTTCAGCCCATCAGTCAATCACTTCGCAGGTCAATATCATGTCCTCATTTGTTAACCAAAAAATTTCTCCGATAATAATACTATCCCAATCACCGTTGTGCAGTACACGGCAAGAGGAGGGAGGAGTATGTACGTCTCGAAGACCCAAAGCGATAACGGTTAGTAAACCTATTAATGATTAGGGTCGTAATTCCTTTGGATGTTTGAAGTGATTACGTTGCGTTTTGTTGGAGCTAATGTGACAAACCAATTAGATGAAAACTCACCAACACGCTTAACTACCCCACTCAGATAAATTATAAACATGAAATATCAGCATAGGATTTTGTGGAGGTTGTGGAATTTCCATAGTTTAAATCACGAACTAATCTTAGTCATACAATCACTAAAAACCAGGGAGCACTGGATGACTGTTTAGTCTTATTATGAGACGTTGCAGCAGTGCCCATTGACGACCTCGCACCCGGGAATCTAACCCAGGACTCTCGGTCTCACACGAGGATGCTTAACCTTCAGGACGCTGGCGAGTCCCACACTAAGACGAAACGACCGTTCAGTGTTTCCAAGCTTTTAGCAGTGGCCCGACTAAGATCAGTTTGTGATTTAAAGCATAAGAATACGAAATAATCATAAAACATTACCATATATCTGATAAGTTAGCGAACCTTATAACTCTCGTAAAATGCATTCCACTTTACTGCTAACTATCTAAAGACACTATTCAGCTACTTTAATAACTAGAAAAAAGTTCAATCTCAGACTAGTTTGGTACTTTACTTAACATAATATATAATCGCATGTATTAAGTTTTAATTACACTACAAGTCAACAAACAGGAAAAATGACCGAATATTTCTAAAGTCATCCATATTATAACAATAAGAGGTTTACAGCGTAAAACTAAATGAATGAAGAAGTCTTGCTTACTGTAGCATTATTATTTGCCGTTGGAACCGAATGTTGATAAAGCGTATAAGGAGTAGTTGACAACGAGTAGTTATTCTGAGCTACAGACGCTGCAGTAGACGGAGATAAGGGAGGGGGAGGGGGAGGTGCAGGACTTTTCACGTGCCCATAACTAGATGGTTTTGTGGATAAATTCTGCACCGTATTATTACGCCCAACATCTGCCGAACTAACAGATTTCAATTTTGGTACACCATTTGCAAAAATATTTGAAAGACCAACAGGTGGGAGATTTCCACTAGCAGGTGCTGGTGGACCTGAAGAACTGTCTTCATTATTTTGATCTTGATAAACAAATAATAAGTAACAGAAGCGGTAAAAGCAGAAAAATAAAGATATTTCCAATAAGAATTTGTACAAATATATATTTTGAAAAGAAACAACGAACTAAAAGTGAATATCAATAAACGTGTATATTAATAATTACCAAGATTTATTAAGCGTTAACAATAAGGGATGTCGACTCCAAGAAAACTGATGCACGCATGTACGACCATGTGCCATTACAATCCAAGCAGTTGGACGCAAACTACTTGTAAATAAGACTACTAAATGTAAAATGCTCTTAAGATCTATAGTTGGCTTGTGTCCTATATAAAGGTTGAAAACCGTACTTTAATGGCCACTAGCTAGTGTAAAATACAGAAATACTAGGAAGTTAGCATTCCGCAAATAATTTTGAGCCCCTTCCTTAAAATAGTCACTCAGTAATAACGTAGAACTTCGTACATACGTACATCAGTTCGAGTTGCCATACCACATTAGCACAGAGATCCTTAAAATAATGCTGAAATAGTAGCGAATTGTGTATAGATTTTTAATTCATAGTGTGGCAACAATGTAAAAGGTTTTCCTTTGGGTGATGTGGATTAATATTTTGTCGACCTGCTTCAGTTTGGGCACCCGGGCAGTATCACAGCCCTCACATATCAAATGAGATTTGTGTGGCGCATATGTATTTAGTGCCTCCTTGTACCATTATGTGTTGAAATAAATAAATAAATAATAATAATATTTTGTCGATCTAAATTGTAAATACGAGCGCCTACAAACACAAAAATACCACAAAAACAATTCCAACTAGACATCTAACCAAGTGAAATATCTCTAATAACAATTGGTAGGTGGTTTTAAGACGATAAGGAAAATTCTGTGATGTGAAATTTAGTTTCTATATTTTTTTATCAGTAATTCTTATGATAATATACGCAACACGACCAAATCGCCAAATATGTACAAAATGATCCACCAGGCTCGAAATCATGCTTCTTGAGTGAAAGCAAACAATACTACTCAGCTGACTTGAGGGAATTAAGATCGATTAGAACATAAGGATTAACCGTTGAGTGATCCCAAAGCTCTCATAGATTTCCTCAAAGATATGTGAAACTACACTTTTAACCACATGTTTTAAACTTCTGTGAATTAATGATATGAAAACTTTAGAATTTGTTCAATTCATCACGGAATTAGCTAGTCACGTTAAGTGAAATTCACGAAAAAACGTCAAATCTCAAACTGGTTATTTACCATCTGGAAAGATGGTTAATCAGTTAATAAGGACACTAAAAATGGCAAGAATTTATATCGGTAAACATTACCACACTTTATTTGAAAACAAGACAGAATTATCTGGGTAAAAACGGAAAAGTAATCATACCAAAGGTAATGGTCAAGGAAATATAAAATAACATAATTCATGAGGAGTAGATGAGACTAGAGAAAGGGGGGTGTAGAGACTTAGAACACCCATAATTTAAAGGAAACTCGAGGATAAATGAATCTGAAGCACTGTATATCACAAGACTTAAACAACACTCAGTCTTATTCAACGTCTTTATTAGCTTTCAGTCTCCAATTAATTATCATCAAAGTAGAGCGTGGTACGGACATGGGTTAACCCGCTGCCGTACGACATTAGCATAACAAGATGAAACCAACAAAAAATAGCAAGAGATCGAAATGATGTAGCAGCAAAAATAATGATAAAGACTAAACGTTGAGAATATGGTTCGGGAAGACAAAATGAAAAGATATATATTAGAATGTTGGAACTCAAGATTGAAAAGAATATAGAGAGTGGATATGAGCTCTTGTGAACGATTATAAGTTACATCATCCGAAACTTTCAGCCACTGATCCTCATTATCACGTGATTGATGACCAGGTAATCTATATCTACCAACGTGGCTCATATTAACTGTCAATAATTTTGTGAATTGATGCAACGTGATGATTCAACCGCCCCACGCTTTTTTCCAGCTTCTAAGCCAACAAACATCACCTATAGAGGCAGATATTTGAGGTCATACGCAAGACACTTTCAAATATTGTCTAACTGCTTCTCGTCAATATGTCAGGGGTATTCATTTCAATTTTAACTATTTGTGCGGCAAGCACCAACCTACAATGTTGCAGAACATTATATCTACGACCCTTAAATCTTACTCCAGATATTTTGAAACTTTGTGTAATAGACTATAAAGGATTCTCAGGTTATACTTGTGTTAAGCTAAACAGTAAGATATAACGCCAACTATGCGAAAAATGAGGGACCATCAGAAACTTTCTGAAACTTTACTACGGCCTGTGATCAGAATTTGGTTCCACCTTACTTTCGTCACCCGTATAGCCCAACGAAAATGTTGACTACGCATATACTACATGAGTTTCTTGCATGTTGATTCGAATACGTATTTTCAATGTGTGAAGCGATAAGGCAAGCATAACTACTGTTTTAAAGTCACTAGAAGTGACCACCTTAAGGCGGTCATTACTCATTTGTTTACAGCGATTTTGTGAATCATTTACAGATTAAATCGAATCTATGTACAGATGATACTACAATCTAAAAAGGGGTGAGCTAACCTGTTGGTTTCGACCCAAGAGGAGCACTCCTATCCTTCTTTTCAGAATCTGGAACTTTTCTAAGAGTTCGGCCGGCCCTAATATCAGCCAAAAACGCCGGACCCGAAGAGTCGCAGGCCTGTTTTGGTGGTGGCCTGGTAGATTTAATCTGAGGAGGAGGTGGTGGGGGAGGGACAGACATTATGTTGACTCGTTGAATACGACAAAATAATCAAGCAGGTCAACCGAACCGACAAGGTCAAATTTACAATATGCCGCGACATGTTCACTTGTCCAAATGATTCAAATGGTTCAAATGGTTGTGGACGGAATAGAAGAAGCTTTCGCTTAACAGGCTTCCGTGTCTAGTAGCAGGGGATCACCAAATCCTCCAGGCAGGAACCTAGGTATGTTAACAATAAAAGAGGAAAAGAAATTGGTAAATCATAGTGCGATGCTGTCCTTGGTCCTTAAGAATAGGTCAAGTTGCCTCTTGAAGGACTCCTGAGAAGTCGCTTGGACTAGCTCGGCCGGCAGCGAGTTCCAGCTTTTGACAACTCTTAAGGAGTAGAAGTTGTGTCTACATTCCGTCTTGCTATGTTGTGTTTCCAGTTTCTGGGTGTTACCCCTTAGGTTATTATTCGAACTAAGCTTAAGTAGGTGTTTAAGAGGATGTCCAGAAGTGTTAAGAATACTATAAGCCATTAATAAATCACCTCTAAGACGCCTATATTCTAGTGGGTAAAGGTCTAGTGAACAGAGGCGTTCTTCGTAAGGCTTAGATTTGAGTCCTCGAACTGATTTCGTGGCTCGCCGTTGGATACGCTCCAAAGTGACCTTATCCTTTTGGAGTGAGGGGGGGAGTATTATGTTTCCGTACTCTAAATGGGGACGGATGAAACTATTGAAGATTGTGTGGAAAGTCCTTCCGTCAAACTGACCAAAAATGCGCCTCAACGTTACCAGTGCAAGGTTTGCTCGGAAGGCATTTTTGTCACAGTTAGCGTAAGACTTTAAGTCATGGGGCACCAGGACTCCTAAATCTTTTTCGACTTGGGATACTACTAGAGAGGAGTTTCCTAAGTTGTAACTGTAGTTTGCGACATGTCGCAGATGGACTACTTTACACTTTGAAGTGTTAAAGGTAAGTCCGTTATCGTCTGCCCAACTTTGAAGTCGAGTCAGATCCTCTTGAAGTGCCTGTATATCGTCTTGGTTGCGTATCTCTCTCCAAAGTTTCACGTCGTCGGCAAAAAGTAATAAGTCTGACGTTACCTGTTGAGGAAGATCATTTATGTAGATCAAGAAGAGAAGAGGCCCTAGTACTGAGCCCTGGGGGACCCCACTAGGACATTCCATAGCTTGAGATAAAGTGAAATTAACCCTAACCTTAAAGTGTCGATTTTTTAGGTATGAAGTAAGCCAGTCGATTAGAGGTGGTTTGATACCTAGTCGTTTGAGCTTGTTGATAAGACACAAGTGGTTAACCTTATCAAAAGCTTTTGAGAAATCTATGTAGATGATATCAAACTCCCCCTTGTGATTGAGGATGCTTGTCCATCTGTCCACCGCAGTCAGCAGGTTGGTTATGCAAGAGTAACCCTTCTTGAAACCATGCTGTTGGGGTGAGAAGAAATCTAAGGACAGTAAATAGTCATTTATACCATCGCATATCAGGGACTCCATGATTTTTGAATGTGTTGAGAGAAGAGCCACCGGTAACTTGAAGTTTCGCTGCGTCGACTCCCTTTGAAAATTGGTGTGATGTGAGCTGGCTTCCAATTTTCTGGTAGTTTGTCTCGGCTTAGCGAGTGTGAGAACATCACGGTAAGCGGCGTTGCCAGGATTGAGGCTGCCTCCCTCAGTATGGCAGAATGAACCATATCCGGGCCAGGAGAAGTATCTAGTCTTAAGTGCTGCAATTTCCGGAACACCAAGTCAGCGCTTAGGTCCACTTCGGAAAGTCCTGTGGAATTGCAGGTGAAACTGTCGTCAGTAAAGTTGATGTCAGCCGGTTGAAATGTTTGAGAGTGCCGCCAGAAGATTAGCGGCGTCGCCATCGTTGTGTGGTCGGACCGTTAAGACCTAGCAGTTGAGAAACTCCTGTTTTGGCTTGACGAAGAGAGGCTGCATAACGGAATAGACTTCTAGGGCTAGAGGCAAATTTTTCCATAAGCTTTGTCTGGTACTGAAGCCTGTCTTCTCTTATGACCTTCGTTCATATGTTCCTTATATGTTTATATTGCCTATACGCTCCGTCGTTATCAGTTCGTTTGTATTCCGCCCAAAAGTGCCTTTTGCGGCTTAGCAGGCCAAGGGTACGGTTCTTGATTACTGTAGGTGGCTTGCAGCTTTTGGGAACCGTTTGAGGAACTGAATGGCTTGTAGCACATAAGAGCGTGTGCAGTCAGAAGTCCCAATGACCGTCCACATCGAGTTGAGGGCGGACATCCTAAATCACCTGTTGTAGATAGTCATGTAGAGCTGGCACATTCAGCCGTTTAAAATTCCAACGCGAATTATTGGTGGGATACCTTAGCTTAGTTTTGATGACAAAACTGAAGGCTATGACGGCATGATCGCTCTTTCCCAGAGGAGCCAGGATTGATAGGTTGTCAACTAGGAATTCTTCGTTTGTGAATACACAGTCTAAGCGCGATGGTGTCTGACTGTTTCTCCAACGAGGTGCCGACCTCACATTTTCGTATAAGCCCAAGTCATCGATGAGGTTGAAGAACCGAGCTTCAGTTGGGTTTTCACCTTCAGTGTACGTGTGTTCCGCGAAGTTGACTCTAGGGAGATTAAAGTCCCCTAGAATCAGGATGTGCGTGAAACCGAGACGGGTAGAGCGGGATAGTCCCTCCAGCATACGACCATCGTACTCGATGTTGGCAGTTGGCTTCCTGTAAATGACTCCGACTAGACACCTCGAAGTACTTGACAATCTAACAGAGCACCATATGGATTCCTCAATATTGTTAAACTCGAGGTTATGAACTTGGTGCACCTCCAAGCAAGAACTTATGTATATGGCTACTCCGCCCCCAATTCCTGTTTTTCTGTCGTTGCGAACAAAGTCATCCCATGTAATGCTAACTCTTGGTCCGAGAACTGAGAAGGTATCCAGGTTTCAGATATTCCTATCAGATAGGCCTTATTAGCGTTGCTAAGTTCACGTAGTTTATCCAGTTTGTTTGGTAGACTCGCGGCGTTCATATATAAGCAGTTTATGCTTTCAATTTGGAACGCGTGAGTGTCGTCCTGTTTTTCTGTATGAGCCTTATGTGAGTGGACAGGTAGCCTACCTATATGAGGTTTGCCGAGTTGGTAGGCCCTGTCCTTTACACGTTTTTTTATCATTTAGACAGTCCACAAGTGGAATGGTCAGCTCCAACTTGCCTTTGTGCTTGGTCCTAGCTTCGTATAACCTATCCGGGTGCATGTGGATTCCAGGTGGCAATCGACGTCTGTTGGCACGAAATGCTTCCAGAACTGCAGCCGCCATGTGGGAAGATGGGAAGGTTATCTTCATTAGACGGGGTCTAAGATCACCATCGTTCTTGGCTAGTCTAGTCACAAGTTGAGTCAGTATGTGTTTGAGCCTCAAGGACTGTTTGGTGAATTTCCATTCCAACAGTAGAAATTGACAGAATATTACCTTACAGGTATTCGGCTTCTGTTATTGCCATACCTCAATCCCTTTTAATCCCAGATAAGCCTTTTTTAATAAATATTCGGCTGCTTAGTTGTGTGGCAGAAAATTAACCAAAATGAAAAGTTAAGTAGACATTTGACAATGATGATTGTGGAGATAGTTAACATGAAATTGATCTGCAATTAATTTTTCCCATTGTTCGCATTTTTCAAAATTTCACATGATTTGTACAGTAGCTATTACTAACTGTAAAATTTTCGTTTAAAATACTTTGACCATGATTTTCTGTTCCTGAACTCTCGTAGTAAGTCGGATTGACTATCGCTCACAAAAACACTGCTGCATACACATACTTCTCGTCCTCACTTATCAACCCTGATATATTTGCTGCCACATCACGTGATTACCCCTTATACATATCTCGGATTTTATCAATCATATTGAAGATGCCACAGGTATTTGGAGTTTGATAACGCTTTAATCAGTAACACCGATGACTGAATCGTACCCGCCTGGTGAAATCAAAAGTCAAAAGCGAGGAGGTTCGAAGATTTGTTGACAAACTATCAATACATCGAGAATCAACTGATGTAAACTGGCTAGTGATTGCACGAGAAGTTGAACACGGCGTTCCCATTCGTGATCGTGTGCGGGTGCATGACCGGGGGCCTTCAGCTAGGTGGATTCATTGAAATTAATGTGGTCAGCATCCAATGTCAAAGACTTACAGAGCTATTTATTTTGAGGATTTATTTGCCTCTATAATATTAAGAACCTTTAACTACTTAGAACTGTGGATCACTGAGCGAAAAAAGTACTCAGATACACCCTCTTCTGATAATTTAAGTAACATCCCAAATCTTCCTTTGTATGTAATTTATACTTCGGCATATTATGTGCTGTCTCTACATTTTTGTAACAACTTTATCGGTATTTCGGAGTTGATATATTTGGTACACCACAAGATGCATGACCGGTCGCCTTCAGCTAGGTGAATTCATTAAAACTAATTTAATCTAATGTCGGAGACTTACAGAGCTGTTGAAGATTTATTTACTACTACAGGTCACTCCCTCTCAGTTGTGTAGTGATGACCGTAGGACGTGGCCAGCCTTAAGTTTTAACCCCCAAAGAGTTTGTCGCTGGTAAACACCTCTGATAACTTTCAACGTTCAGCAGATTCTGGTCGTCTTTCTTCACGTGCTACAATATAGTAATAGAGAAACAGCTAGAATGAAAATTTCGGTTAATCTTGGACTTCGTCTTTCTTTTTTCGTCTTTTTGAGCCTGAACGAAAACGGAAAAATGGTTATGTAAGTGCATGTCGAATTGCACTTAAACGCACGTAAAGACACAAAGCGGGCTTCAAAAAGGAAAACTCATGCACATGCGACAGCGTCGAAGCGATTTTTAAAGAATATTTTTGGGGATGTTTTTGAAGAAAAAATTGAATAAACACATATTAGCAAAATATTTTGTTTGTTTTTTTGGAATAAATATGTATATATAAGCATATTAAAATTTTTTCATTCTATGAAATACAAAGAAGGATAGAAACAAAACAAAATATTAAATAGTGTCTTACGTGCAATAATCGTCTAAATGTTCTGGAAATCTTACTCTTCGTCCAGAACT